CTAACGTTGCATTCACCTTTAGCACAACTGTGATTGTTCCGTTTGTTTTGTGATGCACAGACCACGCCCCCTCACCCACAATGAATCCATTCATCCTTCACGCTCTCTTGTCGGCTGCAGTTCTGTCTCTATCTGTATCTACCAGTGAATTTTCTGTTTAATTATACTTCAATGGCAGAGGTCTCCAGTCTGTAGTTCCACGAAAGATTTAGGAAATACAATTCATCTGCTGAATATTTAACATTTCAATATTCACATGACCAAGACTTTTGTACATCCATTGTTTAATTTTGTGCACTAATACAAACATAGATTATTTTACAGACATCTCACATTGTTTTGACCAAGTAGCTCTCTGCCACTTTCGTCCTGAAAAATTATACAGGGAGGTCAGAAACTGTGACAGAGGCCGTGTCAGGGTCGCCACTCTTCCCCCAGTCTGCCCCGAGTATGCCCAAATGCATGCCTATTTACAACCGTTTACAAAAGTAATGCATATAATTAGATGAATAAGAATGACTAAAACTAAAATGAGTGAGAAATGTTGCTTGATTTCAGCAAAGTCGTTCAAAAGTGATGCTCCTCAACATTTGTCTGATATTTAAACCCTATAAAAGCAAAGCAACTACATTATGTTCAGCATCATTTACCCTTCAGTATTTATGTTGATATGTACTTGACATTAACACATGTTTTAACACAATCGAGTATATTGCAAAATATGTCTGGTGATCATTATTATAATTATTTTTTCCTCCGGTGCCACATGCCCGCAGCGTATTATTTCCAGCTTCTGTCATCATTATTACTGCTTAGCACCAGCGTTATCAGCTTAGACTGGCTGGTAATGGAGTAGAGGAGTTCATTAGAGATTTTCACAGCCCGACTACGGCTTAACTTTTAACTAAGCCTCATTTAGCTTAAACAAAGTGAATTTACAAGGGTAATGGGAGTTAAAAATGTTCTGTGATGTGGTATCGTGACACTAATGGCAGCTTTGCACAGTTGTAGAAAGTGATTTGAAACTAATTTAAGCAAATGGTGTCCAAGGTGCAGTCACTTTTTTCATATCTCTTTGGAACTGTTATCGCGTCACCTTGTAAATGGCATTAAAATTATCTACAGGCAAGAAAGAAATAATAACACACGTAATTGAGTGTTTGCAAGATACAATTTATGTCATGTATTGCAGATAAATGCACATTTGAGACATGTGAGAAAACGTTTAGAAAGAAAAGAGCAGTTGTTTTTTTATGATGGAAAGTTTTGCATTTGAGCTGTGACAAAGTAACAATCTGCTAAGTGTGGTAAAGCCTCCAGAGCACAAATTAAATATAACAATGTGTCACTCTTTTGTCATCTTCACTCATTAGTTAAGATGACAGAATAATCCATGTTATGGCATGATGCACAGTCCTGTTTGTCAAGTGTCTTAACTCCTCATATGTAAAAACTTAACCACATAGTCGGTATAGTATAAAATTCCAGAAGACAATAAAAAAGAACTAAAAAAAACATTTTTATTGACCGAAAAGAGAAACAAAGAAGTTTGTCACTTTAATCAAAAATTTGTATCTGTAGCAAATCTGCAAGACATTCAATTCCCGATTCTTAACTATGAACATAAAACTATTAGGACATATTAAATTATCCAGTATCCATGCTCAAACACTCATACACAGTCTCAGAAAGTACAGTTCAGCAGCAGGTGGCGGTGGCTGTGATTGTGTTTTCTTACCTGTCTTGTGTAGGTCGGCTGCTCGCTGTGGGTCTGATGCGTCGGTCTTGAGGGAGAGTGGGAGGGAGGGCTGCGTTCTCACCGAGGGCACCGGAGCCTCTGCCTGAATGACTCCGAGCGGCTGTGGTGTGTGTGAGATCAGCCCTCCCAAGTCCTGCCCCCATGTGTGCCTTCACTTAACACCACTCTCCTCCTGAGCTTGGCCACGCCTCCCTCACAGCTCTGCGCTCTCAGCATCCCTCAAACAAATACTCCAATGGTTAAGAATGGAGTTATGGGTATAGGGCTGGGTGAAGTTCAGAACCGGCCGATATGATACTTAGCTCGATATGCATGACACGATACAATAAATATCTAGATACAGGGGACTTGATGATATTTTTTCTAATCTAATCTAAACTCCACAACACAATTCAATAGAAAATGCAAGATCAGCCTCATTGTAATCAAAATACAACACTATCGATGCGTTTCTATTTCATTTATTGCAAGTAAAAATAGCAAAACAAAATCTATTCATATTTAAATGAATAAAAAATGAAAAACAATCAGGAAAAAATATGGAAAAAAATTGAAAGAATCTAATTTTGAAAGATTATTACATATCTAAAATCTATGTTTTTTGCATACCCTTAGTTATATGACTCACTAACTATCAGATCACATAACATTCAGTAATAAAACAATTTGGTTATGTGTGAATGGATGAATGGTGAGGCTTTGAGTATTTTACAGTGTGTGGAGTGAATGGAAAAATGTCTGTACTCCCAAACATTGTAAAACCCGTAGTGTGAATTTGAAATGCGCTGTATAAATAAACAGCACTTAATTACAAACTAGTTTTCACATGCATGTCTTTTTGTGACATTTTTCAGTCAACCTTTTCAGACAATCTTTGCAGGGACTCTTGGGATAAACAGAAGTATTACCAGTAAAAAAAGAAAGTTAGGTACCTCAGCTTCAAAATAGCTTTACTAAGGAAGAATTTGATCAAGATTGTCACGGTGGTTGTATTTTTCTATGTATTTGTTTTCGTGTAGTTTGACTTTTGCTTCCTGTCTGTCCTGTTGCCCTGATGTGTTTCACCTGTGTCTCCCTGTGTGGGTTTATACCCAGTTCCATTCACCTCAGTTCATTGTTTATATACCACATGTGTTCCTGGCTTGTTTTCACTTCTGGAAATGTGTGTTTTATTGTTGCCCTGGATTTGATTGTGTTTACTTAAATTACACTTTTATTCTCAGTCTTACATTTTGGTTCCTTCTTTCGTTTTCTCTCATAAATATTTTAACATTCTAAACACGTATCTAGAAATATGTCTGCTAATTAATTGTGCTCACTTACACAGATGTATGTGTTCTCTTAATGCGGTGAAAACTCCAATATATGAACACACAGATATTTCCTCAGTATAACCATCCCCCATGCTTGAGTTTAACCTTTGTGTTGTTGTTTTTGCTGCATGGTCCACAAAATCATAAATAAGTTACAAAGAGCAGCAGGAGCAGGCTTACCTATTCCATATCGCTGAAAGCAGAGTATTTTTGCACTTCTGCACTGAAGTGATAAATAAAAGGGTGGTACTAGTAACCATTTACACTGACTTCAAGGACACAGGTTTTCTTTTGTTGAGCCACTGTCATGTTGACTAATGGCTCAAGAATGGCCCCAAGAAATAAATGAACACAAATTAGCCACTTCTATCTTAAAGCTGGGGTATCTTACTTTTTGTTATCGTAATGAATGCATGTTGTGTGCCCGGGTTAAAGCAGTTCTGTTAAACCTGTCCACACAACTGAAAGATTGTATTCTCTTTTGAATGCACTGTGATTATGTTTTTGTGTGTTTTATCTGCGTATGATTTTGATGTTTCCTTTCTTGTTTTGTTAAGCACTTGGTTGTGTATGAACTGTGATATGCAAATAAACACTAAACTAGAAGTAGTAAAAGTAAAATTAATATAACGTTAATTTCAAAAGTATATACACATTTAGAGTATAAAAGCATTAAAAGCATAATTTGACCCCATGACCGATAGATTATAACACTTCAGATAAAAGTGCGTTTTTTCTGCATAGTTTTTCACAAGTACGCAGACTCCAAACCAGAAGAGCATCATATCCTGTGCGATGGTGTTGATAAATGGTGATGAGAGCTGTTTTTCCACACATAAACACACAAACACACACATGCGCACACACCGTCTTTGCTGTATGGAGATTTGATCAATGGAAAGATGTATACAATGTTACATATGGAGATTGAATTGCACTGCTCTTATACAGGTCAGGAGGGATGGTAATACATTAGAGCAACAGTGATGGAAAGGAACTCATGATTCCATGAAGAATTTGTGAATTTGTAATATCTCTTCTTCTAACTCCTATAAGACTTGTGGCTAAACATGTTTTTGTACATAGCATTCTGTTATTCAAAATCAAATCGCTTGACTAGTTCCGGAGAGCCGATTATTGATGACAGCAGTCATTTTAACCTTGAGGACCACCCTCTCCTCATCGGTCTGGTTTAAGGCCATGACAGAAAATATGTAAAGCTGCTAATCTTCTCTACGTTGCATTAAAGCACGGGACATTGAACAGTGTTCACTGCAGGGGACATTATTAATGTCCTTGTACTTTCATATCTGTAGGGAAAATGCACACAGTAACAAAACTATTGTCATTTAAAGCTGAGGTTTCGGATCGCAACACAGGGTATGTGGATTGTAGTTTGACCTGTATAGTAGAAGTAGGAATTCATTTTATTTCAAATGTATTTACAAAAGACAAAAAGAAAAACAATGAACAGGAAACAAAAAATACACGCCGCAATAATATACAGTTTGAAACACAACATAAACCATGCACACACACACACGCACACGTACACGCACACATACACACACACACACACACACGCACGCACACATGCACTCACTCAGCAAAGGCACAGGGCCAAAATACTCTCATACTGTATTTCTCTAGTGCTCCTTAAAAAAAAAAAAAATCATATCTTCTCTTATTAGAACGTGTAGGTTACTAACATTGCACCACCCTGATAGTAAAGTCAAAAGTCCAAACATTTTTCATTACTCTTCAGTATTATCAATGTAAACTAAGACGTTTGAATGTATACAAACGTACATGACATAGTGCGTTACATGTCTTTTTGTGCAACGACAAATATATTCTGAACTCCTGTTGTTTTCTTTGCCTAAATTAGGCAGCGCTGCTTCAAACAAAGCTCATTTGTGGAGAGTGTTATGCCTGCAGAGCGAAGCCTTTCTCGGAGGAAAACAAAAAGCCGACCCCCTGTGGAGTGTGGAGCGCGGGGGGTGCATCTTCCTCTCCCTCTGAGACCCATGGGAGACGGCACCCCCCCTTCTGTCATACCCTACCTCAGAATATTTCCACTCCCAAACGGCAAACTGTATGACAAGCTGGAGGTGAAGAGTGTAAAGGATTAATACTTTAAAGGCAGAGCTTTATGGAACAGAGGTGGAAATGTTGAACAAAAAAAATTACAAAAGATGCAGAGGTCTGTAGTCAGCAGAAGACACGTTTTATTGTTGGTACTCAGCATAAACAGAATTTCACATCTGCTAGGTCACTAATAGATAAGATAAGATAGACTTTATTGTTCACACACAAGAAAAATTTACAAGATCAAGTTTTGACTTTCAGATCAAAGTGGAAAAACAAAGACCTCTTCATACTGTTGTAATAACCACCTCAGTTTTACCTCATTGCACAAAAAGTTCTATAGCTGTTTTCTCCTGTGACAGTAGCTCAGTTGGTAGAGCATTGGCCTTTGAGCGAGAAGGTTGTGGGTTTGAGCCCACCTCAGGACTTTCACCATTGATTCCCACTGTCTGCTGTTGTTGTGTCCTTGGCAAGACACTTCCTCTGGGAACACCTTATGCCACAGTGGAGCGGCTGCGGCTGTAAAGTGCCAAACTGCTGTTGTGTCCTTAGGCAAGACATTCCACCCCCATTGCCTAGAATGAGTCTAGTGTGTGTGTGAATGGTTGGTGGTGGTCGGAGGGGCTGATGGTACATACTGGTTGCCTCGCTTCTGTCAGTGTGCCCCAGGGCAGCTGTGGCTACAGTAGTAATTCATCACTGCTGTGTTTGGAGTGAAAGAATAATGACATGTAAAGTGTCATTAAGTGTCCAAAAAAGTGCTGCATAAAACCAAAGCATTATTATTATTATAGTGTCAGTGCGATGGCATGTCTATATCATCATTTCTTCATTCAGACTTGCGTACAAAAAATCAGACAGCTTATAAAAGACAGCCATACCAGTGTTTCTGTCATGGTGTGGACTTCCTGTTTATTTATCTAGTTTTATTTTGATATATTTTTGTATATATTTTGTCGGTCTGTCTTGTTGATTCTTTGCCCCGCCCCAATGTGCAACAGCTGTGTCTACCTGTGTGTATTTAGACCCTGTTCTCCTGTCCTCTTGTTGTCGGCCCATTGTTATTTTTCCCACGTGTCCTATTCCCGGTTTCGGTTTTTACTTTTGTGTGGCTGTTATTAAATTATATTACTTTTGCAGTTGTGCTTTTAGGTCCTGTTTATCTGTGTCAGTTTCCTTAAAGTAGATTGGTACCACAAACCTGGGGTCCAGAGCTACCACTTACCACCAATAGTTCTCAGAGTCTGTGTTTTCGTTCAGAACAAGATGTTCTCTGGCAATACATTGTGCTTCAAAATATCTTTTTCTGAACAATGGTGCAGCGTCACCCTCTTGTCTCAATACTTTGTTTGCCTTCTCAGTGCACGCTGTCGAGTTTTGGAGCACAAAACTATCTCACATACACTGCACAACACTTTATTAACATGGTTATTGGACAATCCAGCCTGTAGCCATCTGTAAATGTGCCATTAATCTGAAATATGCTATTGCCTGTGGTTACCTGTTTTGTATTGTAGTATTTGAACACTACTGAACATAACAATACATAGTTTTTATATATCGCGCTTTTTGGACACGCAACAACACTTCACATTCTCATTATTCCATGTACTGTACTGGTGATAAAAAGTGAGGGTAACCGTGGGTGTCATCTGCCCCTTTGACCACCACCAACCATTCACACACACACATCAGACTCATTCTAGGAAATGTGGGTGAAGTGTCTTGCCTAAGGACACAACAATAGTTTGGTACTTTATAGCCGCCCCACGGTGGCACATGGTGTTCCCAGAGGTCCCCCATAACAGTACTAACCAGGCCCTGTCCTGCTTAGCTTCAAATGTCTGGCGGGATCTTTCTTTCACATGCAGGTGGGACTACAGTTAGTCTGTTAAGCTAATACCGGCGCATTTACAGTAATAAAGTAGGGAGTTTTTATTTATCAGAGTGCCTCGGATTTTACCCTGTTTTTACTTTTCCACTGAAAGGGTATCTTTGTTTGCTATGCATTTACAGTAATGTTTAAGATTTTAAATGCTACAACATTCCTATTATGTTCTTATTCAAATGAAATAGCAGGCAGATGTGACTGATGTGTGTTTATTAAAGTTTAATGAATACAATTATTTATTTGTAGATATTTATGTGGGGACACAACTATCTACAAAACATATAACTTTGTATTTTCAATTAACTATGTAATAAAATCCATCTAACCAGTTCAACACACTTTGGTTCAATCTCTAGTTTTCACATGCATTTTCTTTTGGTCTGTCCCAGCTTTAGATCAGCTTTTCAGAAAGAAAAGTTAAAACGAGGACCACCTTCACGCAACCAATTAGCTCGCAGCCAAAAGCACTAAAGAATGACTCACTCTTTGTTACAAGCACTAAGGTAAAGACAGGATGATGAGGTCTGATTTATTTAATTTTACAAAACTCTTTCTGTTGGGACACACAACATGTTCCCCAGTCTTTACTATCCATAAAGACGAGACATACATACACATTCAAAGAAAACCACAGAATTTATAACTCAAAACACATCTAAAAACCACAATTTTTGATGATTCTGATTGCATTATACTTATCTGCGGTCCATCTTGAAGCTTGGCCATAACATTGCTCATCTCACTTAGTCTAATCTCCGTTGCTCTTGACCTCCAGCAGCTTCTACAATCACGTCATTGTCTTTGGCTTTTGGGATCAGCCTGGTTCCTCCCTGGGGCCTGTGAACAGACCCGGGGGGTGGGTGCAGTACGTGGCGACATCCTTGAATAAATAAGCATGGATAATTCTCTTCAAACCTGCAGTCCCTTTAGTTGTGCTTCTTTTTAGCCGCATGGTTTTGAAGAGCAGATAAAGACACAAAGAAGTGGAGGGAGATGCTCATTATTTGGTTGTCAGTGAAGTTTTCTCACAGTGCGGCTGACGGATTGCTCTCAGCGCTATTCATTAAAGAAGAAATTATCTACATCACGTCTCGAACCAATTTAAGGAACCAAATGAACAGCCGCAGCTTGTTTCTTTAAATATAGGCGGTATTTTTTTTTCAGTTACATTTGATCAATTAAAGCTGTGGTACCTAGCTTTGAAACCACTAAAAATAAACTCGGCTCTAAGTTTCATCTAACGAGTTCATATTTTTTGAAACAGTTTGGTTCTATCACAATTTATGCGTTTGTATTTTTGAACCATCCTCACAATCTGATCTCTGCCCAAAGCATCAAATAATGACTGACAAGGCAAAGGGTAGCCACATTTCTAATAAGACATAGACAGCATACAATGACATTATGTATTTATTTATTAAAAGTAAAGTTAGGTACCCCAGCTTTAACTAGTAGATTACAGACACTACATTACCCTCTCAGTGTTTGACAGTTCTGACTTTTTACTTATAAGCAGTTTTTGTCATAGTTTGGCCGAGGGTGCAACGTATACTCTAGAGCGACTTATGTGTGAAATGATGAAATTTTATATTTTCAGTTGTATTTACCGAAAAATATCAAATAATAGGCCGGGCTATTAAGTTGTATAAAAATGCAACTTATATATGTTTTTTTCCTTCTTTATTATGTATAATCCGAAAAATACAGTGTTCTTTCTCCTGGATAACCTGTGTACACTTTATCAATAATTTATAACATTAATTAGTATCTAAAATGAAGCAGAACGTTTTGATTGTACTTGTCACTAACAAATGTTGATGTTTTGTGATCTATCTTAAATGTGTGAGTTGTTTTTTTTAGCGTGTATGGACAAAAGAAAAAATGTTCACTCAAACTTTTGAATTAAAAATATCATATCACATGGAAGAATTCTGCAGTGGAAAACATAATCTAGAAATATTTATTGAATGTACTTTGATGAGTGAAGTTATATCCTCCAAGTTATCTGATTTGTCTCGTTTGTGTCTTGTTTTAGATATTATTTCAAGGCACTTCAAATCAAGGAAGCATTACTCAATCACACACAGAGACACATACACCAGTGCAAGCAGACACTGGGGGTGAGGTGGGTTATGTGTCTTGCCCAAGGAAACACACTCACTAATGGAAGCTGGTTTCACACCTGTGGCGCTGAGGGTCAGTCGATCTGACCGCTCAATCCATAATGTTTATGTCAGAAGCATGAATGGCTATAGCTCAGGCCATTCTTATGCTATTTTAAAGCTATAATTTGCAAGTTTTTAATCACATTTTCTCATTTGAATATAAGGATTTTTCTGTAATAATGGTGAATGCCTGCTGGGACCGTTGTTTTATTCAGAAAGACTGAGAAGTGTGTGAACGACAAGTCATCTGTGAACAGCAGGTATTAATAATGCAGCTCAGGAAGCAAGTGCCCACTACAAAGAGGGGTCTGCAATGGACCAACAGTGATAGAACAGTCCTTGTGACCCGTATCAGCACATTGAAATACTACTTTGCAGAACATATATTGCTGTTTAACCCTGGTGAACTTTAAATCCACTAAACATTAACGATGTAACACAACTGATGCTCTCAAAACACTTTCTATCACTATTACATTATGCATGTAGTTTGCGTCTGGCACAACTTTAGATCACCATTTCCAGACAGAAAAGTGAAACACAGAGAACGCCCTCAGACAGGTCTCAGCTCAAGGCCTCAAATAGTTACTCACAGAGCTCTTTGTTACAGATATGCAAAATATATTATGTTTCCTAAAAAGATGATTACAGCATATTTGTGGCCTGATTTGTTCACAACTTTTTAGATTTACAAGACTCTTTCTACTGGGACAAACAACAACAATTATTTAAGGGAAATCCCTTATAAATAAAAGATAGGCTCTTCAAAAGTGTAGAATAGTTCCACATTCGAGACAGCGCTTGAGCTTGGTTCATGATAAGTTCTCGATAGACTCACAATTTACACACAACATTCATTCAGAGAAAATGGTAACAAACACATTTCTTCCACTGAAATAGGTTGAAGTTGTGCATGTGCCCAATAATTCATTCATAAAACTGTACAGCTTTATAAACACCAATATAATTTGGACCTTTCTCCTAAATGCTGTTGTGTGTTTCTCTTTAAGAAAGTTAGACGCACATAAAAGGATGATAGTGGGACTGCTATTATTGTTGTTAGTGTTGCTCATTGTTAATTCTTTGTGACCTGTGTGTCCCAGCGGAGCGGTCGGGCAGGTTGTGTGTGCGCCCCGGCCCTAGAGACGCTCCACTATGACGCCGATCAGAGCCTCTGAAGCGAGGGGAAGGAGGAGGGGGGAGGCCGAGAGGGAGGAGGCGAGGAGGAAGAAGGAACAAGGAGGAAGGAAACAAGGACGGAGGAGGTGGGGAGGAAGGAGACCAAGAGGGAGGAATCAAGGAGGAAGGAGACGAGGAGGGACGAGGTGAGAGGGTTTGCTTGTCTGATCTGTTGTTGGTTAATCAACAACTTTGTAAAGTCCTCTGAGACGACTGCTGTTGTGATTTAGGGTTGTAGAAAAATACATGGAATTGAAGGGGATGAGGGTGGAGGAAAGAAGGGAGGAATTGAGGAGGAAGGAAACTAGTAGGGAGAAACAAGGACAGAAGAGGTGAGGAGAAAGGAGACAAGGAGGGAGGAGGTACTTTTGATTTTGAATTCTTTTTAGTTGCAAAGGTTTTATTTCAGAAAGTGGTACACAATAATGAAAGAAAACATATTTTTACACCAAAAATGTCCACGTCCCAAAGATCTAAGACTTCCCCACTTTCTTAATCTTAATTATAAACATGCACTTAAATATTGCATAATCACTTTGAATGACTAATCAGAGTATAGCATCTTAAAATGAATGAAATGGACCCTCTATTCTGTGTATTGAAGTTATTCTTTCATGATTTAACCTGCATATGTAAGAATCACATCATCACAACTACAGCACCCACTCAGCCTCAAGCAAAACATAACAAGACACTGGATTACATTTGCAACACAATTCCACAGGGGAAAGGAAATCAGGACTTAGTCAGTGACGCCCTGTTACAGGCGGAGGTGGACAGAAACTTCATGAGTGCAAGGTTGTGGGCTGAAATAATAAATTAGCTCATAGACGCGCTGCTGTTTTAGCCCTGGCCTTGTGTTCTCCCCATGGACTAATACACGGTCTATGGTTCTTCCTTGGTCTACGGATCAGTTACTTCTTGCTCCACAAATTATACCTTAGATGTATTTGCTGCCGCTTCCAGGTGAAGGTTGCAGCATCTGATCAGAGACTCATGCTGGACACATCAGACACAGATACTTATGTATGTATGTGTTTTATTATTGATCCAAGTTTTGAGCTAAACCTTTCAACAGTTTGGGGTTACCCAGACAATATTATGCATTTAATGAAAGATTCATCCACTTAACTCAGACACTCTTTCCTGTCCCTCCTGAAGAAAGCCCTCACAGGATGATGTGTCTCCACCTCCCTATTTCAATTTTCAGACTAAAAAAGCTGATTTAAAGCTGTGATAAAGGACAAGAAAACTATTAGATTGATTGTATTACATTGTTCAAATTGAAAGTTCACCAACTTTAAGTGAGAAGAGTCATGAGCAGTGTCAGTTTTCCATTTTGGTCTCATCTGACCACAATATCTTCTTCCACATATTGAATAGGTTCTCTGCTTCGCTTTTTGTGCCTTAATCTAAATTTAAAAAGTTAGAATGTTTCAAAGAGACATGTAATCTGAATTATACAGTATTTTGTACATTTTTTAGAACAGCATCTATTATTGGGTATTAACACTGTGTTTGGCCCCCACCTGCATCCCACATCTTCCTAAACTCTGGCCATGTTATATTCTTTATATGTGTAAGAGGATTTATATTTCTATCCGAACATGTTGAAGTCAGCACTGCCCCTCTAATCCCAGTCTTAACATTTTGCTATGACCCCGCCTCCCTGTCTCCCACAGTGTCTTATGTCTACGTATCTCCCTTTCAGATCAGAACAGCTTGTAACATGTGATAATTATGATCCATTTTAGGAATAATAAACTGATGATCACTTAAGAGCTGGCTAAGATACAAGCCACACTGACATCTAGTGTTGGAAATAATATTGTTGCTTACTGCAGCCCCACTTGCGGTCCGTGGATCCCATTAATATTACAACACACACTGGGTCTGAGACAGACTGAGACAAACCAAATGAAATATTGATTTGGTTTGTGGTGTTCTAGGGTCTGTTTCCATGTTCGTTGCAAGTCAGACGTTTCCTATTTCGTAATGGAAGATTGTGATTGGAAAAGTTAAGTTAAAAATAAACACAAATGAGCAAATTATTGTAAACGTGCAGAACCATGAATATGGTGATTAATGTGTGAGAATCATTATTCGTTTTAAATAAAGAATAGCAGAATGGGAACATGAATGCATAAAAATCAAAGACTTTCATATTCACATATCATTTCATCACATGTTATTAGCTTGGGGTTATTAGTGTAATAACCATAGACTGTTAATAACCATAGGGGAACGGCACACGCCTTACCACTAGATGGCAGTAGTCTATAAAGATACTGGTCGCCATCTTGGTCCTTGCAGCTGCTGTTCCACAATCTCGACACAAAACACAGTGGATTTTCACAGGTATTCGGCTTTCTATTCACCGTTAAATAATCTGCAATGAAGTGCTTGTCCTTGTGTATAATACGCGAAATAGAATGGACATTTTAAACCTTCATTATTTCTGCAACTTCCTGAAAATTCTGCGTAAATGCTTTGGGCCTAGCAGCAGCTTTGATTCTGTCTAGAAAACACACACATAAACAAACCCGGGGCATTTGAAGAGCTAATTTGCAATAAGATTGTGTTAGGGGCTAAACACACTTACTTCTTTGAGCGGTCTTGTTTTAATTAACTTTAGTTTTCTGTCTAGCTGTATTATTCATTCCTAGACAGACCTGTCACAATAATTATGTTATATTACAATAGCTAATGAATGAAACAATTCATCCATTAACATTTTATTTTCAAAATTCTTTGTAAAATGAGACCATTTGAGCTGAATAAGTCATTGTAAATGGATACTAGTTACTTTAGTTGCATGAAAACGGCACAATTAACTCATTGACTGCCATTGACGTGTTAACACGTCAAACTAAATAGTAACGTTGTCTGCCAATGACGTGTTAACACGTCAATTGCGTTTCCCGCTATTTTTACGTTCCCAGCTGTCCATTGAATCTAATATGTGGAGATTGGCTTGAGGCAATACTTTATGGAGCCAGCAGATGGCAGCATTGCGCTATGAATGGTTTGAACACAGCTAGATGCACTGTTTGTGGCCCTTTTTTCTCAGCTTTCTGGTGATTTCAATAAAACTTCCCTCTACTCAACTGGGGATTACAGAAGAACTAAACAAGATAGAAACAAAATTCTTTTTGCTGGTGAGAGTAGACAGCCCATTCTTTCAGAATCTAGTTTTAGATTTCAGATAGTCAAAGTACACAATATTCTGTGGGTCTTGAAAAATCAGTAAAAACCACCAGAAACGGCTGGCAATATGGGAGTACCTGTTTTGAAATGGGCTGGCAGTCAATGAGTTAAGTACACAGTTTATTTTTTCTTTTAATGATAAAGACACATTCAAATGGTTTGCTATTGTGAAATTAGACTAATGGTAGAAAGCTGTTTCACAATTATTGATGTAATTTTTCAGAGGATGCTGTTAACTGGACTGAACCTCATCACATCTAAAGTATGGGTTAATTGTTTTTGTGCTTATTTTTGCAGTCATCCAATGATAAAGCAGAATTATGGATGACCAGGCTGCCAATAAGAACCATATGTCCTGTCCAGTGTGGCCAGGACAGGTGAACTGGTGCGGAGACCCCACCCAAGGAGCCCCTCTTATTCCTCTGCCCAGCACCCAGCAGCTTGGTCTCGGCTCCTCCACAGACTCAAGACCAAGCATTTATGATCAAATACAAGTTTCTGGTCTGAACTGTTTGAACAACTTGCCCTGTAGAGTCAATTCTCAAGCATCTCTTTTCAAAACCCCTCAGATTTGCAGCACAGCCACATCAGCCTCTCTTTTTGCAAATACTCCGACTTCCACCACTGTTTCCAATGTGCTTTCCTTTGCCCAGCTTAATCAAACGCCTTTGATGCAAACTGCAGATCATAGCAAGAATGCCACAAGTCCTTCTTATCAGACAACCCAACACATGGCCTCATTCCAGCCCTTATTACCAAATCAAGGTTTAACCCGTGTCCCGCAGGAGCTGCCTGTTAGTCTTCCCTCCTGTTCACAAGGTCCAGAGCAGCACATTCAGAGCAAATCCACAGACTCGGCTTTTGTTGATGGACACAACAGGAACAACCCAACTATCCATCTCTCTCCATGCAGGCAGAACTGCACAGGTGAGATCGTTACTCTGTGGTTATAGCATCAGTAAGATAACTGGATACATGATTTCAAATAAAGCATATTTTGTCTGTAATTTGCCAATGGAACTTGTTTAACTAATGACAAAGCTTTTTCCCTACATTGTTTTATATAATATTTCATGCATATTTGACATTTAAAGCAATAAACTTGAAATGTTATTTAAAGAACATTCCTTTGCAATTCTTTTAAACCATTGATTATCTGTGGTTTAAAAGTATATTTTCATCTATGGCACATTTCACAGATTAAGGTCAAACAAAGCGCTTTGCAAAAAGGGACACTTTCAGAGTTAAATTCCACTCATTCTCATTGTTTCTGTATTTGTATGTATTTTCCTGCACCAATCCTCCAAAGCAAATTCCTAGTTTGTGACTTGTATTCACCAGCATGACAATAACAATGATTTTTCTGATTTCTGATGAAGATTTTGACAAATTGGCTTCAGTGTTTAACTGGTATGATGTATTTTCTGTTAAGGAAATAAAGAGAAATCTTCAGATTCTCAGGCGCCGCAGATAGTAAACACAGTTTCTCTGGTAAAGAACTTTATAGTATTTTTATTTTATTTATCTAGTCCAAAACCAAACCTAATAACTTGTTAAAATGTTTCCACACAGGCGACTGCTGAGTCCCGTAATGTACTTATCCAGCAACGAGAGGAACTTCTTAAAAAACTCTCTGATATAGATGCACTTGTAAGTGTGTTATTAAAAAGATTTATGTTTTGTCATTCAATTTCACATTAGTAAATGTTTAACCTGTTTAATTCATTTTTATAAAAAGCTGAAAACACTGCCTTCAGAAGGAATCCAGACTCAGGAGGCCTCACCTGCTGCTGACAGAGTACGAATACAATTTAATACAGTAGTATTTATTTAAAAGTATGTTATAATATTTTTTCTATTTCAGTCGCCTATTCCCAGTGATGATGCATCCCAAGAAGCACACGACGATTCCAGTGACTTTTCAGAGGTTAGGACTTTTCATTTTAAGCGCAAACTATTGCGAGTAATTAGGGTACAATCATAGACTGTAAAAATTAATGGATTTAGTCACGCCTATCTCCGCCGTTCTAACATGAAACAAAGATTTGTTTTATTTGCAAACTTACATTTATTTTCATCCACAGTGCACAGATGTTCAATCAGGAGATGACGATAGTCCTGGTTATTTACCCATTACTGAAGACGTGATTTCAGACTCAACTGACAACAGTTCCTCAGAAGAACCTTCCAAAAAGAAATCCAGGCCGAACACCAGATCTAAACAAAACTCAAAGAGACTCTCTGTGACTAAGAGCAAGCAGAAAGGAACTGTAAAAAGAAGGTACACACCCAAGTCATCAGTTTTAGTATTACAGTGTGTAAGCAAGAAAGGCAAACGAGTTTATGACAAGAGGAATTATTGCTTATTTTGCTCCAAACCGTTCAGCAAACTGTCTCGACATCTTGCAATGGTTCACGGTCATCAAGAAGAGGTTGCAGCTGCCTTAAAACATCCCAAACATTCAAAGGAGAGACAGAACTTTTGGAATAGATTAAAAAATAAGGGAAACTTTGCACACAACAAGAAAGTGCTCAAAACGGGGAAGGGATTTCTCGCGGCTGTGAAAAGACCCAAAATACCTGTTCAAAACTATGAGTTTGTCCACTGTCTCTATTGTCAGGGACTTTACATCAGCAAAGGTCTGTCTAGACACATGAAAAAGTGCCCAGAGAAGATTAAGGAAGATGAACCTAAAATAGGAAAAAGGCGCTTGGCTTTTCGATGTGTGCTTGAAACAGTGGTTCCAGATATCAGTGAAGGTTTTAAAGGGCTCATCTCCCCAATGATCAATGACCCTGTTACACAAGCCATTCTAAATCATAAGGTTATTATACAGTTTGGGGAGAGCATGTTTAAACAGCAGGGAGCTGATCCTAACCGACATGAAAACATCAGACAAAACCTTCGACAGATCACTAGACTTGTGCTGGAAGCTCAAAAGAAGACCCCTCTGAAGGAGATGGAGGACTTCTTTGTGCCTGATAACTTCAAACATGTCATCTCAGCTGTCAATATCGTAGCAGGATATGATTCAGAGAGTAACACTTACAGTAGTCCCTCTCTTGCAATTAAACTGGGATACCAGCTTCAAAAGCTTTGCAGCATTGTTGAGAGCAATGCTATTGAAAGTGGTGATGAAAGCAGAGCCAAGTCTGCACAAGGTTTCCTTGAAATGTATAAGAACAAATGGAATAAGCTTGTATCTGCAAGTGCTCTTACCACTCTCAGAGAGACTAAGCGTGTTAAGGAGAAGAGTGTCCCTTCCATCCAAGACGTCAAATGTCTGAACTCATTTGTAGCCAATGCCCACACTGTGGCAGAAAACATGTTCAGAGAGCACGTCTCTGCTGACACATATGCTTCACTTGCAAAGGTGCTTCTCAGTCGTGTCATTCTGTTCAATCGGAGGAAGCCTGGAGAAGTGTCGAGCTTAAAGCTCAACGATTTCCTGTCACGGAAAATGTACGATACCTATAACTACTCTGGAGTCACCCTATCAGACCTTGAGAGGACCATGTGCCGGTTCTTTACTCGGATTGAAATCCGTGGGAACTGTGGCCGAATAGTCCCTGTGCTGCTGAAGCAGTCCTTTGTGTTCGGTCTGGAGCTTCTGGTGAAGAATCGTGAGGCATGCGGGGTCCCTGCTAAAAACCCCTTCCTGTTCGCTCGACCCACGGCTCTGACCTCTTACAGCGGCTCAACTATTCTGCAGAACTATGTGAAAGACTGCGGAGCAGTGTCACCAAAAACGCTCACCACAGCTAAGATCAGGATGCACTATGCTGCAAAGCTGCAGATGTTAAACCTCGATGAAAATGAGGCCAACCAGATTCTCGGACCCAACTACCTGGATTTACAAAGCACTCAAGGCAGTCAGGTCATTGATCCACAAGGTAAGTTTATCTGTGTATCTGACCACTGTGTTTCTGTTAAAAGTTGACTAATTTGTGGTGCCTTCTTTGTCATAGCAGCATTTGAGGATATTGGGAGCCAAACACCTGTACAGTGGGACCAGAACTCCTTTACCTACAACCGCCCAACTGCTTATTACCCTGACCAGAGTCATCATGCACAAACTCCAGCCCTGGCTCCTGCCCCGAAGCGCCCAGTCACAGACAAACCACAGAGAGGTACCAAAACCTTCACTGTTTTCCAGTTGTCAATGCATCTCAATAATCTAAACTTATTATGTCATACTACTAGTGTCTCAGAAGAACAGTAAACAGAAATGGGACGAGGCTGAGATCCAGGCTGTAGAAAGGCACATGATGCGCTTCATTCACGGACATAAAGTTCCTCAAAAGGCGGACTGTCTCCAATGTTTGGATGCTGAGGCTGAGGCTCTGAGGGCGCGCTCTTGGAAGGGAGTGAAGGACTTTGTCAGGAACAGGATCACCGCCTTGAAAAGGGAGGAGAGCAGGAGTGCTTCGAAAAACCTGCCATCGACCAACTGGACTTCCCAGGATAGTGGATATTACCAGTTTTGAATCCGTAGTAGCCAGTTTGTGTTACTATTATCAGCACCTTTGTTTTTCTATTTAAAATGCTTATTATATAAGAACAGTTGTTTTTAGAAGCCAAAATGTTCTTTCTTATTTATGTTTTCTTAATCAAGCCTTATGTAAAAACACGTGTTAATTTGTATTGTTATTACTCTTCTTGACTTTAATAGTTATCGACATAGGTTATAAAAGTTGTGTTTTCAAATCTGGCGTCCAGTGAATATTTGAACATTATTTTAAATACATTCTGTTGGTCAACAGAAAGGAAATGTTTTCTGGTTCTCCACATTGTATGCATATATTGTTTTGAAAAATCTTACACAAACTTAGGTTTCGTGGACTGATACTCACTATCACATTTCACCATTGACCGCAGTTACCTGCTCAAACTCCCTGGAGCCAAGTCTGACTCAACCAGCTCAAGTTCAGCCACTGCTTAGATCCGTGCCGAGGATTGGACCAGAGGATTTTAACATAACATAACACTCTTCTTCAATTTAGCATTTGGTTAGGTTGTTGTCCGGTCAGGTCTTGTCCGGTCTTGGAGTCTGCGTATATGGGACCCGGTCCGCTGCATCTTCCACCCTACGTTCAAGACTAGGCTAAAACAGTCCTCTTTAGTTCAGCATATGGTCAGGAAGGTAAGACTCAGGCAAGGCTTCTCACACTGTCAGTCAAGCTGCATAGGGACTCAGTTTGCTGGGAGAAGTATGGTAACTTGAGCACTATCCTTCCTACTTTATCTGTTTTGCATTATTAGGATTTTGACTGTAGTTTGTTTATTGCTATTCACCCCTTGTCCCATTGTCTGTTTCACGGTGTGACGACGAGACCTCTGAACCTGGCCTCCTCCATCTACACCTGCGGACTGCCTTGCCCGACCCGCCAGGGAGTTCTTCAGTCCTGCACCGGACCTGTTCACGCTCAGCGGCCGCTGGTCCACGTTCTGTAGCTTAGGTCCTGGATCTATAGCCCGTCCGTCCGTGTGGAGCGAATCCCTTTCTCAATATGTGGGTCTCCCCAAGGTTTCTCACGTCTTCCCAATGGGTTTTTGTGAGTTTTTCCTTGCCGATGCAGGAGGGTCTGTTGGACAGTTAGTGTCCAACTAGAAGGACTGTGGTGATGATCCAGGACACTTTAACATTCTACAACATGTATGGGACTTTTTTTTTTAAAACATGCGTTCGATATTCGTGTTTTAACTGTTGATTCTCTGATCTGTGTTGGTGATTGAATGGTTTTGTTAAGTCCTCTGAGATGACTTCTGTTGTGATTTAGTGCTATACAAGAATACATTGTAAAATGTTATTGTAATAAGTTAAATGATATGCCGTGAAACATTCCAAATGGAGCAGTGCATCTCAAAGCTGACACTCGACCAGAAAAGGTGACCACTTTTATACTGAAAGGCCTGGCGGAAGTTGTTGAGCATGTCTACTTTGGCTTGTACCTCGATCCCAAATTTTTAGATGCGATCGATGTATCGCTGCTGTCAAGAATACATGTATAACAGGTGTGGATCAATAAGGTCCGTCAAATTAGGCAAGTAAAGCAGTATGTTATTAATGTAACGTGCTCAGCGGAGTAAACCGTCCGGGCCAGTCCTCTGGTCTGGCGCGAAGCTGCTATTAGCCAAGGTATGGGTTGCTTTACCAAACTACATATTAGTACACCTAACATATATCGTCATTATAACATTTTTAATTATATCAGTTTGAAATTGTCTTATTCAATGCGATGATTCTGAGGTTTTTCTTTTCAAAGATCGCTATAGTATTTTATATGCTGGCTACTTTCTGTGCACAAATTAGCATTTCCTTAGGCTTTCTCTGATGTGTGCCTGGCCTGCATTTTAAACGTCACTGTCATGTTTTATATAATTTTTGGTTGTGTATTTGCTAGCAGAAGGTGTCAGGGATGTTGGTGAAGGAGGATGGAGTCTTCAGCCAATCAGAGCGCGGGTTCTCCTCAGCAGTGGGCGGGACAAAACAGCTGGTCCTCCACAATTTCTCCATCACTTCAAAACCCTATTTCAACCTTCCAGCATCTCGCCCTGGCCAACCCCCAGCACCCAGGCTCGTTAACCCCTTCACAGTCATATAACACAAACAACGCTTGCTTTGATTCTCAAGTCTATCCTGGTAACCCTCCTCGCTCACTACCAATCATTTCCAATGGGTCTCTACAGCCACAACACATTTACCCCTCTGTGCCCAGTCTCACTGACCAGAGACAACTAAATGAGCCCCAGTCTCCACTTCAAAATGAGTTTTCTAATAAGCCTCCATTCTCAAACGAACACATAACAAATCAAAATCGACTAAATAGTTCAACTGCAGGCGTGGGGTCTGCTGGCTACATGCATTATTATTCATCACCAGTGTCCCCTGTTCAACAGCAGCCACAATGGGCGACAGCTTCTACTCAAGGTCGGTTTGTTATTCGTCCTAATTTTGTAAAAAATGCTTGTATTTTGATATTTGCTTTCTCTCATAGGAACCATAAAGCATTTTGTTCCAGATGCAGTTGGACAGTCTCCGAACGAGTCGCGTTATGGCCTTGACCCGGAGTCTCTCCCTAGCGCTGTAATTTATTGATTCATTTATTATTTATTGGAAGAATTTTATAGACTAACATTGTGACATTCTGATGCACAGTGTTTGTAGCAGTGGCTGATTTGCAACACCACTCCCTCTGATTTCATGAAAACGATAGCTTTATCATTGATAATAATAAAAAGTTGTGTGAATTTGTCAAAACATACAATGACCAATGAAAAGTTAATTTTCACAAACAAATAAGTGCCATTAGAAATTATTTCAATGGCTTACAATTTGCCCTTTACAAGTTGTTTTTTGAAAAGCTGAATCTATTTTACTGCCAGCACCAAAACATGTTAAAGATTTTAGAGTAATACAACTGTTTGACAAATTTTCAAAACATAGATATCAGTTTTAGCAAATGAAACTCCAATATAGTTAGCCATGCCTGGAGCAGCATTCAATAGTTTTTTGTTGTGTTTTTTTCTAGGATTTTAATGCTACAGGCCACAATGATAATTTTAAAAGCATAATCAGGTAATATAGAAATATAGTATATATATGGTATAGTAATTTTCCTTTAACATTATTATTATGTGGCGACATTATTTCTTAATCCCTAAAATGTGTTATTATCAATCCATGTGATTCTCTTCGGATCTAAGTGATGTTTTAATATTGCTTAGCATCTGTATTGATTACTGACAGAGAGATTAGTAATACTTTGTGCATTTCTGACATAGGTTAAAATAATGGCTGAAGACCAGTTGAAGTGGGAGGAGAAAGTGTATGTATCGGAGCCTCCTTCTCGTCTTCCTCCGTTAGCCACAACATCCTGCACAGTCCAGGACAAAGGTAATCAAGCCATGTGTAACTAACCACCAATATTCATGATGTAAAATCCCTATTCAAACAATTTTAAATACAATTTAAAACAGTCAAACAGCCCTCAGAAAGCTTTCACACTTTTTTAAAATTTTGAATCTCTATATGGGGAAAATGAATGGACTTTTTCCTTCTGGAACGGGTCAGCTGGCACTTTGCATTTCCATAGAATTAACATACAATTTTGATTTGCCGTTTTCTTCATTACCAGCGCTGTTACATGCTTGTCTCTTCAACACAGGGAGCGCTAGTCCATTTGCTATCCGGGCCACTTCATACTGTTTTCCTTGTGATGGTCAGACCACCCAGCTTAGCCATTTACCATTGGGGGCAGTCATCTCTCCTCTAGCTGGTGTCAACTTCGACCAGGTATGACAAAACTAATCAAACGTCTCTCTCTAATCACATACAACGCGTAAACCAGTTTCTACATTATTGTATTATCAGAATACGCTGCCGGACTGCACTGAGTCGGAGTGCATTGCAGGCTGTGGATCCTGTGGGGCCTTTATGTGTCCTGTTATGGGATGGCAGGACTGTGGTCAGAGGTTCTGCTGCCCATTCTGTGGAAAAGTCAGTGAAGGTACAAAAGCTAATGTGGGAGTGCATGGGGAATGTTGCATTGTCCCAGTCCATATATGATTTCCTCTTTTAAATATTGCTAATTTGACGTATCATAAGAACTTTAGAGCCTTAAAGCTTTTGATTTTGTGAAAACAGTTGTGTTTCCAGCTGGGAATGGTGGTTTCATTGCATTCAAGTAACAGCAGTGAATGATTTAGACTATTCCCAACAGGTTAAAGTAGGTGATCACAACAACGCAAAAACCTGGAGCTACTGAATAATGTACCAATGTGGTTTTACTGCGAATGGCAAATACATGGAATGTACTTCTGCACTTACATACTATTCGAAAGACTGTAATGCATTGCATGTTTGGAGTGTTTTTTCCTTAACTATTTCTTTGCTAAAAACATATACATTAGACCATTTATTACCCACTTTTATTTTTCTGTTTGCATTTCTCGTATGTTTTAGTGTCGTGGCAGTATTATCAACCAACCAAAGGTGTTGAAGGGGTCCGAGTGGATAAGGAGAAAAGACCAGAGCTTTGTATGGGGTCATATGAAGTTATCAACTCTCAAAAGGTAGTAGAGTGCTTCCCAAACAGGGGGTCTGGGACTGAGACAAGGGTGAATAAAATTGTATCTTTAAAAAGACATTGCGATACAGTTTTTGGTTTTTGATAAAGGTATGTTTTAATAGTTGGGGTTTGTTTAGAATAAATATATAACATCAAGAGAGTTAAATTTGAAAAACACAATACATGGACATTAGCTCATTCTCACAGTTTGTAGAGGTATGCTACGGTAAAAAAAAATCTGTAAAAATGATTTAAAAGTATCACTTAACAAAAGCTATTTACAATTGTGATGTATTTAGTGTGTGCTCAGAGTGGTTTGTAATTCCTTATACTTAATACAAAAAACTTGAACAATCACTTTTTCTGTTCTGATCTTTTTGTATGTGTTTTTAGGGTGAAGCTGCGGTCCTGTTGTTGGCCATAGATGTTTCTGCCCAAGCGCTTAGAGGAGGTCACTTAGATTTCATAACACATCAAATACGCACTCTAATTACCGCTTTGAATGGGTAATTTATTTATTTATCACTTAAGTTATATATTATTCATTCACATACAGTTTAAACAATGTAAATTATTGATTGGGGTTATATCAATCTATTGTTTTTACACTCAACAAACGATTTTTTATGCAACACAAAAAAAAAACTTGCTTCCCAAAGGATAAACACAGTCGCAGCTCTTGTTTGAACCACTTTTCTGGTAGCGCCTGTCACCGCTTAGAAAGATAAAAATAAAATCAGTATTAAAGACATAACTATGGTGGCAGTGGCTCGAGCTTGTGCTTTATAACAAGAAGGTCCTTGGTTTGATTCCTGGACCAGACATGGAATATTTGTGTGTAGTTTGCAAGTCCATGAATGTTGTTGAATGATGAGTATCCTGGATCCTTAGACCGTCCTTCATCGGCAAGGAAAACCTCAGTGGGAGAAAATGAGAAACCTTGGGGAGACCCGCATTTAGAGAGGGATCCGCTTCCAAGAACTACGTGCAGTATGCATACAAAATAGTGATTGATGTCTTTGAGTTTCTGTTTTATTTTGCTTTCAGAGAGGAGGGAGAGGGTTTGGCAGATGTCCGGATGGGTCTGGTCACTTATGACGGCAGAGTTCACCTGTACGATCTCAGTCCTGCCCTGTCCCGCCCACATATGCTCATTATCACAGAGACAGACGACCTCCAGCTGCCCTTATCCAGCGGCCTTCTTGTTCCTCTCAAACACTGTGTTGACAGCATTAACAGGTGATTACGATACTCTACATATTATTGAACCTTATTGCAATTAGCAATGTCTTGATATCATATGTTAGTGGTACTATTATTGTGAGAGGCAACAACACAATTCTCACATTATTCATGTTCAATTACACTATGGCCAAGTCTTTATTTTTGCGTTTCAGTGTGTTGCAACTCATTCCTCAATACAGTCCAGAACAAAATGACAATAATGGAGTTCCAATAGATTTGCCAGTTAAAGCAGCCTTAGCCATATTCCAGGTATGTTTTCTATATGTTGAATCCTTTGATCATATGTACGAGTTTACCACTGTTTCTATTGTATATATTTCTATATTTTAGGCTTTGAATTGTCCTGGAAAGCTGCTGATCTTTCATGCTGCTCCTTTAATCGAGGTCGAAAATACACAAACATCTTCTGGATTCTTTGGCTCCAATAAACCAAAGGTGAACAAGTTTAAATTATAACGTTGTGAGTCGTCATTATACCCAGTTACAACTTATTTAAAAACAATCACATGTATTTTTGATGTGACCTATTTCTCTGCCCGTCTGTAATAATTGTTTATTTTTTAATCATTATTGTTTCTAGTCCATCTTCCAGCCGTCAGAGCGGTCCGTGTCATTGGTTAGAGACTGTGTCCGTCACGGCTGCAGCGTCCACCTGTTTCACCTGTCACAAGAATTGGTGGGCGGGGCTTGGCCGGGACACATCCCGTATTTAACTGGAGGAGCTCTGAATACTTACAACCACATTCAGGTATAACATGTTCCAACAAAATCACCTACAATGAAAGCTGAAACTGTTGGAGTCTAACCTAGTTAAATGGTAATGATCAAACCCATACACTGCAAAACATGGGAAAAAATAAGCCAAAAATTGCTTAAACTTGACATAATGTACAGTATCTTAATTTGAGCACATTTTAACTGCTTTAAAACAAGATTTGCCAACGGGACCAGCAAAATGATCTTGTTTTAAAAAGATACAAGAAATGTCTCCCTTGGAATGAGAAAATAACGAAACAGTTCTTGAATTAAAACTAAATGGCTTTGTCCCTTTGACAAATCTTGTTTTAAGACGGTCAGAATGAATTCAAAGTAGGATAAAAATAACTTGATTCAAGAAGCAATTATTACCTCTTATTTGATAATTGTTTTCTAGTGTTGCCAATTCATCTGTAATTGTGTGGCCCAGATCCATCCCAGAACTTTCAGATATTATTGCAAAAAGTGGGCCACACCTTATTTTTGTGCCTCACACGAAGAATCATATTACATGAGTAATAATTTTGAAATCATGACTGTTTCACTTTTGTTCCACCTTTTATCATATTTACACCCGCAATAACTGCTAGTTTAAAAGTGGTTATTCTTCTGAAACCAGGATAGAGGAAATAATATGTCAATCAATTGTTTTTCCATTTCCAGGGAGAAATGGACAAAGAGCGTTTTTCTGCAGATCTGAAGAGAACATTTTCAATGGACGCAGGGTTTAGAGCGGAGTTGAAAATATTTGTTTCTAAAGGTAAGAACATCCTATTATGTGAAAAAATGTAAAAAAAAAAAAAAAATGAAATCAATTCCTATTGTTATTTTGACGTATCTCATGTTTGTTTTGTTTCTGCAGAAATGCGTGTTTTGGGCTGCTATGGTCTCTTCCTCCCCGGTCCTCACCCAGCCTCTATACCCATGGCAAATGTGAACTGGCAGACGACCTTAGCTGTGGAACTGGAACACACAAGGAATTTAGAAGAATCTAAAGGTGTTGCTCTACAGGTGATTTCACATGCAGCACACGCAATGTATTGACATATAAGGCATTTTGTAACGTCTGACTTTTTCTATTCCCCAGACTGCTTTGTCTTACAGCACATGCAGAGGAGAGAGGAGGATCAGGGTTCATACGGTCCTATTAAAATGCTCACGCCATCTACAGGATGCTTTTAGACATTACCAGGCCCAAACACTGCTTACTTTTTACAGCAAGAAAAGTAAGCTATATTCCGAATCTACGAGGGCTGGGAAAATATATTGTGTGATCATATATTGTATTATGATATTTATACTATATGTGGTAATATATACAGTGATCTATACTGTATTTGAAACCTTGTATAACAAAGTTTAATTGTTTAAAATATAAATCAGTAATTTCAGTCCATCTATTGCATTTATTATGAATATTGCATCATGAATATTATCCAGCCCTTTACATTTTTATTGCATTGCATGTCAACAGTGTATCTTCCAAGCCATAGCATCTACTATATCTCCATGAAGAAATAATAGTTTAACGTGTTTTCGTAGTGTATTGTGCGGTGCTGGAGCGCCCCCTGCAGGAGTTGAGGGAGGAGTTGCAGACGCAGATCACAGAAGCGTTGGCCTGTTACAGAAAGCACTGCTGCTCTGCCTCGGTCTCTAATGGACAGGTAAATAATACACCTTCCCTTCAATAAGTTTTCTTTTGCCTTATTGAAACATACTTGGTCTTAGTTGAGATGGAGTTACCTTGTTAAAATGTTCCGGCGGAGAGCCATCTTAAGGACAGCCTTGGTGATGTGTGATTCAGCTGATGGTACTGTCTAGAACAGACAACAATCTTATGAAGAATAATGCACTTGTCCTGAGCAGCGTTTAGTATAAACATTACAATTATTGCTTATTGTCATAGTGTAAATTACTTGTAATTGGATTACAGTAACTAATTCAACTAACTAACTAACACAATCAGCCTTATTCTATCTCCATTTGTCTCTGTGTAAAATCATGTCCTCAAAAGGTCATTGGAAGCATAGTTCAAAAAGGAAATACTTAGAGCATTGTACTTTTTCAGTAGCAATAATAGCTTGTGTTATTCCTGACTGTGGTAATGTTCCGTACTTCCTTGTTCCCGGTGCAGCTGGTGCTCCCTCAGTACCTGCGTGCTTTACCCGTCTACGTGAACAGTTTGAGGAAGAGTGAGGTGCTGCTGCCCGGCCTGCGCAGCACTGTGCCCCAGCGGCTGCAGCAGAGATGCCAGGTCCTCCACATGGATCCCAGCAGCACGGCCACACACTTCTACCCTCAGCTTCTGCCTATGGTCAGTTCACACACGGCTTTGTGTGATTCTCCCAAAAAAACTATATTATCACTATTATTTAAACTATTATTGTATATTCTAGATGAATGATAATCATACAGTGCATACATAATCAAATCAATAATAATGATATATGTTGCAATTCATCAATCTCTTTTCAGGTGAAACAGTCAAAAGGTGGAGCTCTGAAAAGTAATAGAGGACTCATAAAATAAATTATAGAAAAAAGTGCAAAGAAGCTAGTACTACTTTATTACCTGACTTGTTTCAGTGGTAGACTTAAGTCCTAGCTTCATTACACGTTTGTCTTATCATAAGACCCTTAGACATAATGAACGTCTTACATTTAAAGAACATTTTTGAAGAAAAAGGGTGCTGGGATTTCAGAGCTTTCATGCCAATTTTGCTACTTCGGTGCCAAAAGGATTAACTATTTTATATAATGTCTTCTGCAAAGAAGATATTTCTTGGCTCCCCCTCTTTTCTGTTATTGAACAAAACTGCAATGTCTAAAGAGGGATACTAATGATTGTATAATATAAAGATATATTTTACTCATACTTGCCACTAATCACAAGCCACTAATTGACTTTCACAACCAAAATATGTTCCCCGACAATAGTTATTTTACTTGCCCTCAATTTCATGAAATATTCCTGCAAAGAATCTTAAACGCCACAAATGTGATTTAATTCGCTCATCAGCACTGAGTGTGAAGCTCTGATGAGTAAAGACTATGTCTAGTTACATGTATATTGTTAGTTACATGTATATTGTTAGTTACATGTATATTGTTAGTTACATGTATATTGTTAGTTTCATGTATATTGTTAGTTACATGTATATTGTTAGTTACATGTATATTGTTAGTTACATGTATATTGTTAGTTACATGTATATTGTTAGTTTCATGTATATTGTTAGTTACATGTATATTGTTAGTTACATGTATATTGTTAGTTACATGTATATTGTTAGTTTCATGTATATTGTTAGTTACATGTATATTGTTAGTTACATGTATATTGTTAGTTTCATGTATATTGTTAGTTTCATGTATATTGTTAGTTTCATGTATATTGTTAGTTACATGTATATTGTTAGTTTCATGTATATTGTTAGTTATATGTATATTGTTAGTTTCATGTATATTGTTAGTTTCATGTATATTTTTAGTTCCATGTATATTGTTAGTTTCATGTATATTGTTAGTTACATGTATATTGTTAGTTACATGTATATTGTTAGTTTCATGTATATTGTTAGTTTCATGTATATTGTTAGTTACATGTATATTGTTAGTTACATGTATATTGTTAGTTATATGTATATTGTTAGTTTCATGTATATTGTTAGTTTCATGTATATTGTTAGTTACATGTATATTGTTAGTTACATGTATATTGTTAGTTACATGTATATTGTTAGTTTCATGTATATTGTTAGTTTCATGTATATTGTTAGTTACATGTATATTGTTAGTTATATGTATATTGTTAGTTACATGTATATTGTTAGTTATATGTATATTGTTAGTTTCATGTATATTGTTAGTTTCATGTATATTGTTAGTTTCATGTATATTGTTAGTTACATGTATATTGTTAGTTACATGTATATTGTTAGTTTCATGTATATTGTTAGTTTCATGTATATTGTTAGTTTCATGTATATTGTTAGTTTCATGTATATTGTTAGTTACATGTATATTGTTAGTTTCATGTATATTGTTAGTTTCATGTATATTGTTAGTTACATGTATATTGTTAGTTATATGTATATTGTTAGTTACATGTATATTGTTAGTTATATGTATATTGTTAGTTTCATGTATATTGTTAGTTTCATGTATATTGTTAGTTACATGTATATTGTTAGTTTCATGTATATTGTTAGTTTCATGTATATTGTTAGTTACATGTATATTGTTAGTTACATGTATATTGTTAGTTACATGTATATTGTTAGTTACATGTATATTGTTAGTTTCATGTATTTTGTTAGTTACATGTATATTGTTAGTTACATGTATATTGTTAGTTTCATGTATATTGTTAGTTATATGTATATTGTTAGTTTCATGTATATTGTTAGTTTCATGTATATTGTTAGTTTCATGTATATTGTTAGTTACATGTATATTGTTAGTTACATGTATTTTGTTAGTTACATGTATATTGTTAGTTTCATGTATATTGTTAGTTACATGTATATTGTTAGTTACATGTATATTGTTAGTTACATGTATATTGTTAGTTACATGTATATTGTTAGTTACATGTATATTGTTAGTTACATGTATATTGTTAGTTACATGTATATTGTTAGTTTCATGTATATTGTTAGTTTCATGTATATTGTTAGTTTCATGTATATTGTTAGTTACATGTATATTGTTAGTTACATGTATATTGTTAGTTACATGTATATTGTTAGTTACATGTATATTGTTAGTTACATGTATATTGTTAGTTTCATGTATATTGTTAGTTTCATGTATATTGTTAGTTTCATGTATATTGTTAGTTACATGTATATTGTTAGTTTCATGTATATTGTTAGTTACATGTATATTGTTAGTTACATGTATATTGTTAGTTACATGTATTTTGTTAGTTACATGTATATTGTTAGTTTCATGTATATTGTTAGTTACATGTATATTGTTAGTTACATGTATATTGTTAGTTACATGTATATTGTTAGTTACATGTATATTGTTAGTTACATGTATATTGTTAGTTACATGTATATTGTTAGTTTCATGTATATTGTTAGTTTCATGTATATTGTTAGTTTCATGTATATTGTTAGTTACATGTATATTGTTAGTTACATGTATATTGTTAGTTACATGTATATTGTTAGTTACATGTATATTGTTAGTTACATGTATATTGTTAGTTTCATGTATATTGTTAGTTTCATGTATATTGTTAGTTTCATGTATATTGTTAGTTACATGTATATTGTTAGTTTCATGTATATTGTTAGTTACATGTATATTGTTAGTTACATGTATATTGTTAGTTACATGTATATTGTTAGTTACATGTATATTGTTAGTTACATGTATATTGTTAGTTTCATGTATATTGTTAGTTACATGTATATTGTTAGTTACATGTATTTTGTTAGTTACATGTATATTGTTAGTTACATGTATATTGTTAGTTACATGTATATTGTTAGTTACATGTATATTGTTAGTTACATGTATATTTTGTCTCATTATCTCCAGCCGCTGATGGTCGACGGTTCAGAGCGGCCTCAGCTTGAGGAGTCGGTGCGGTGCTGCTCAGCCAGTCTGAAATCCGAGCTCCTGTACCTGGTGAATGCTCCCCTGACCCTGCTGCTCTGGGTGGGCCAGCAGGTACCTACAAGGGCCCTGATGGAACTGTTCAACACCAGCTGCTTCTCCTCCCTGCCCTCAGGAGAGGTGAGAGAATGGGACAGATCTATGTTTACATGTTTGTGGTTAAAGTAATGTTTTAAATGATCTCTTTTACTAGACAAAGCTTCCTGTTTTGGAAACCCCCCTTTCTACTTTTGTGAGGTCTGCTATCCTTAGACTGAGCACCCGCTTTCCTACTGCCCGCAAGGTAAATGGTTTCTTCACCTTAAAAAAAAGTATCTCTCTACTTATACTATTGCTTATAATTAGTTTGTCCAACAACTCAATAAGACCACTGACAATTATTAACTTACTGACTTGACGTGACCAAGGACTTTATTTTTGTGACACTAAACTATTGCAAAGAAAAAAACCTAATCCATTCATCTTGGACTTGCTACTTGTAAGCTTGTGAGCTCATTGCAATTATAAAACAGACTTTATATAACAGACTTGTGGCCCGGAACCATGTCCAGGAACCCCTAAAACAAGCATGAGCTGTTGATTGTGATCACGCTGTTGCTATAATTCATTTGGTGCAGATGCTACAAATCACACTTGTGTTGTGTATCTATAGCTGTGGGTGGTGAAGCAAGGTGACAGTTGTGAAGAGGTTCTACAGCGCCACCTAGTGGAGGACAAAAGTCCCAACGGAGGAGCATCCTATGCAGACTTTCTCTACCATCTCCATGTCAACTCTGTCCGACTGCTGCAGTAACGCTTAAGGCAAAACGGACACGCCTCTGGTGCATAAACAGACAATGCAGAAACATTATTTTGTTTATTTACTTAAGATACACTGTATTACTTGTTTGTGTGTGATGTGTGGCAATTGAAGGAGCAAGGTCATCTTAGCAGTATTTCATATACTAGCTCTCACTTCTTCACTGAATGTGTGGGTGTGTGATGTCTTTGTGTAGTCCTTATAATAAAGATGGCTGGAAATCTTCTTTTACTTTACCAATATCAAAATCTTACATATTTTCACAACAAAATTAACATATCTTTTGTGTAAGATAGTCAAGTCATGATGTCAAGATGTGCATACTAAGATTTGCCCATGTTTGGAAATAGGCACTCCGCATTGGCGTTACGCACGCTCTCCGCCAGGGGGCAGCTAAATCCAGACGCTTCATGCGCCTTTTCTCGCGTCAGGTGGATTCTGTCAAGTTAGGAACACGTATCACTGATATCACAACTAACGATCTACACTGATTCAATACAACTACAACCCTAAGCAAGTGAATGCCTATTACAGTTGATTGAGTTTCTGCAATCTACTGCTATTTGAAATCCCTGTGTTATTATTTGTACAACCACAAGCTATAAGGATAAATCATATGTTTTTGTTTATAACACACACTTACTAGTTTTGTATACATTTTTCATCATCTGCATATGTGAAACTACTGAATAAAATGCTCACATATATTTGTATAAATAATGGGTGCAGCTAATTCATACTGTCATAATTATGGAAATTATGAGACTTTTCCAACTAGTTTAGATTAAATAATTTGGATAATTGTTTAAAAATCCTGCATACAATCCTGTCGTTACCTTTCACCTCTTTTATTGTGAAACGTCTTTCCGGAAGTCACCCATCTACAGTCCGCTCTCTTGACGTCTGAGATCGCAGGCGCGCAGACGCTCCTTCGCCAAAGTGTGCAGAGACTGGCTCCGAGCACCACCCCCGCGTCCACCACCACCACCTCCATTACTACTACCGCTGCTCCTGCTGTGGCTTCTCCGTGTCTCTATCACCCTGCCCCCGCTCCAAGAACACGTCCCTCCGCTCCTCTGGCTGTCTCGCTGCTGGGCGGACCCGAACCTTCCCCTCGCCCACTGAACCCAAGTCCGCTGCGGGGATTTTGGAGCGCGTAACGGACGGAGAGAGTGTGGAGAGACATGGCCACGACAACTTGTACGCGATTTACGGACGAATATCAACTGTACGAGGAGCTGGGGAAGTAAGTATTGCATATTGTGTCATCAGTATTTGTTACAGTAGAGAGGGGCGATGAAGAGTGCTCTGTGCCACTGCTGCTGCTGATGATGATGATGAGGGGTGTGTGAGTGACCACCGTGTGCGCGCGTCTCTGGGATGACAGCTCTCAAAATAACATTACGCTGCTCCCTCCACACTCTCTCTACTCTCCACACAAGTCTGCGTCCTCCCCGAGCACATGTCCAGGCTTTGATCGCGCTCATACCGGGGGTCATGTGGTCGTAACCTGTACAAGTGCATGATAATGTTGGAGCTGTTGTGTTGGGTTACTATCAGGTGGCATTAAAGCTGGGGTACCCAACTTTCAAACCACTTTTTTTGAAACATTGTCGAACTGCCCATCTGACTAGTTCCTATGTCTCTAAAAGCAAGTTGGGTTCTATCACTAGTTTTCACGTGCATTTGTATTTCAGGTTTAATAAAAAAGTAGAGAAGGGAGGATTACCCCCACTAGATCAACCCCTGTGAGTCAAATAGTAACTCACAGGGCTCTTACTCACATGCAAAATATAAACATGTTGAAGACAGTATGTCCTGGTATGATTTGTTCACAGCATATAACTCTACCAGCATATGATTTCTGTTGGGACGTACAACATTAGGCTATTATTTATGTTTTAAAAAAGTTAGATCACCCGGCTTTTAATTCGTTCACTGTTCTGACAACTCCACAACAATAAACATACAAATGCACATATTAGCTACATCACTTTATAAGCCCCCTGAGGCTTGAGCAAAGTTGCGGCTTATAGTGTGGAAATTACATTACTTTTGTCTATCTTTTGATTTGCCATAAGGTGTTTAAACTGAATTATAACTTCCACCATAGATCTGTTGCTCATGGTATATTGGCCTCTCCTAGAACATGCCAGCTCTGGTCAGACAGACATTTTCTTCTTCTTCTTGGTCTTTTTCATTTGTACTCCTGAATATGAGTACAAGGAGTGCAGTGACAAGACATCAGTTTCCATTTTGAGAAAAAGCCAGTAGAATAATTACAAAGTACAGAATGGCTGAATGTGGAAAAGGTAACACTGCTGTATCTCTGCAATAACATCATTTTATAGTTGTCAGGCCTAATCTTGTTTTATTCAACGCTTCAAACATAAGTAGTGCAAAGTTGTGGGTGGATATTTTTTCATTGCTTCAACTTAATTTGATTATATTTTTAATAAGAGAAACATATATTTTCTTGTATATGTAAATTACAATACACAATGTTCCCTCGTTCTTTGCAGCACGTTTTTGCATCGTTGTCATGGATACATAAAACGCAATGTCGGCACTTCCATTGAATGCCACACTGCCAGATATAAATAATAAACCTTCACAAATAGAAGACTTGTTCCACAAATGTGACATCAGAATAACGACAAATGGAGGTGACTGCAGTGTCTTTTTAATATAGTCTGATTGATCTGTTGCAGAGATTTTCCACATACAGTGATAGTCATTGATTTTATAACTGTTTGTTTCAATCATGTCCAATCTTCTACTTATATTTTTGTTCTGATCACTATTCCTATAAGGATTTATACAAGAGCTATGCTGCTTTTCAAAACCAGATGTTGTTAGATCACAGAATCTAAGCAGTGCGGGACCAAGTCAGTACATGGATGGAGGACCATGTGCCACTGTGGGAAGTTTCTTGTGAAGCTCTTTTGGATTTGTATCTCAAAACTACTCCTTGTTCTGATGTTCTGATGTTCGGAGGTGCTGATGATGCAGATACTGAGATAAGCAGCTTTGCCTATCTCAGTATCTGCAGATAGGCAGATACTGTCTCGTGCATTACTACCATCATGTAGTGAATCAATCATTCATCTTAGAGCCTCAATAAATTACTCATGTCACTAATATTACTTGTTTGTCATTAAGGCAGCAGATTAACATCAGATTAGAATCTTGTCCTTTCCTTTTGACCCTTTAATGCCACTATAAACCGACCTGTCAGGAGCAGTGGTGGCCACCACTGGCCACCCAACATTTGGGTGTAGGGAACAAACATGGGTAGACAAGTGCAAACTCCACACAGAAAGACCCAGATTACAATGGGAATCAAACCTGTGCCCTTCTTGCTGGGAGCGCTTCATACTCAGCCACCTGACCTGCATGAAACTTAGACCATAGATAAGATAGACTTTATTGATCTCACACAGGAGAAATTAACATTTACATTGTAATAAGATACTAACACACATTATTGGGCTTTTCCAACATGATAGAACATGATGTGACCCATAAACGCCAAATGTTTCTCCCCAGTCGCTTTTATCATTCAGCTCTATCATGTTTTCAGAATGGAAGATTGTTGAATTGACTGTATTAAGATTCTTCAAAAGAAGACATTTTTTCCTCAAGGATCTTCTTTTGAAGATGCTTTATATAACAGGAGTGTAAGAATTGGGAGGGACGTTCAGAAATATATCAAGGCTGGAAATTCAACCTCCGAGGCCAAATGAAGAACCTATTTAAAAGACCTACCTTGTTGTTGTTGTGTAACGGTGAATACATTGTAATGTGGCTCAAACTCCTCGCCGTACATGTTACGCAGACGCAGAGCCGCGCTGACTGTGAGCAAACCTCATGGGAGCTTATTAAAAAACCCAAACGTCCACAAATCCTCTTTGTTGTGCTGATGAAGTGCCACCTGTGCAGAACATGCTCTCAATTAAACAATATGAAACTGAATTTTCTGGCATTTCAGAAAGCTGTTTGTGTTGTAAATACCAACTGATTTATTTTCCCTTTTTGCTTCCACTTACAGGGGAGCCTTTTCAGTTGTACGCCGATGTGTCAAGCTGTGTACAGGACAAGAGTATGCTGCCAAAATAATCAACACTAAAAAGCTGTCTGCCAGAGGTAAGCACAGTTTAAGGGATTAAATGTGAATGGTGGAAATGTTCTCAACTGCCAGTGTTTTGATTATTTGCTTGTCGCTAAAACAATAATGAGCATTCTTTGTTATTTTTGGGATTATCTGAAAAGTCATTTGGATTATCAAGAGTGCAATAATACTTTGTTTCAGTACTTTTTAAAAACCTGTTGACACAATCCACCGCAAGAGTCCCAAGGTTTAGCAGTCACTTTATTTTGTGTTGTCACATTATCAACATTTCATTAACATTTTAAAAACACAAATATTATTATGTTTTCATCAGATATTGATTCATTTTGTTATATGTGAAATAATTGAACATTCCCAGTGTTAGAGCCTGCTCCTCTTTTCCACCAATAATCTATTCATACAAAATAAAACCTTAAAACAAAGTGATATCGTAAACGTCAACATGTTGGAGATTCTTTTGTAGATAAACAACAGACTCCCAAAGACTTGTTTCTATTCTCAGAGGTGTGTTTATTTTTGAATGTGCTAAAGCAGAAACTCATGTGAACTCAAGCTGTTTCTGTTCTCAAACTGAAATTATGAATATAATTATCAGAGACGTACTTTATTTAAAACTTATCTTTACTATTCAAAAGTGTGCATGCAGCCTTTTTGAATGTGTGATGTTAAATATGGTACACATTACATATAAAGCTTGGAAGCTGGTGTAGAATAGTTTAGGCTCAAATAAGGACTGCTTCTGCCTGTTCTTTGATTGAAATTTCTTAAACTATATTGTTTGAACTGTAAATGTGTTGATATTTCATTTTGGTCATCACAATCCAACTGTCAATCAGACGATCTTTATGATTGTGTAAAAGTATCTTTGCTAAAGTGGTTAAAATGGCGGATGTTTGGACTTGTGCTGCTGTAAATTACGCGTTTAAATTAGTACCTAGTATAGATTATAGTTTTAGTCTTGATTCATATTGGGGAATCAATTATTGGAGCGACCATACTTTATTGTATATTTCGCTCCTCTCAATAGAACTTCTACATATTGCACGTTACACTACACAAACATAAACATGGGGATTCTGCTTTTCAGATTCATACAGCTACATCTAAATGCTCTGAAACAGTCTTCCTGAAAACGGGAGACAGACCTCAAGTCAGACCTTAAAGCTATATAGGAGGATTGTCCCAAATTTTAGGAAAGAACCGCCCTCTCTGCTTTTTGAACTAAACTCTCTGGTCTGATTTGACGAGCACGTATCACCAGAATGATTGACAATTGGGAGGACCAATAGTGTTGATGATTTACCCGGAAGTAGAAAATCCTCCTATGTCCCAATCCAGCTGCGCATATTACCTTAAATGCTATTATTCCTTTTGTGAATCACTTTGAGTTGCCTGGTGTATGAGTTTTGCTCCACAAACACATTTTGATGGATTTATAAATGTTCCCCCGGACTGGCACCAACATTTGTCAGTGTCAGCGATTTCACATCTGTAACACGGCTCCTCTATCAAGTTGTGAGCTAAAATAACCCTGACGGGGATGATTAATTTGTGAATAGTTTCCGTGTTTGAGTGTTCGGCCTCCACCTTCAGTGCAGACAGTTATGTAAGAGATAGAGCAGTTAGTGTTTCGCCTCTCAGATGGAAAGCGTAGGAGACTTTTATCACAATGGAGTTCTGAGCATGACAAAAAGACAATGGAGTATTCACACTTATTTCACAGCAGTTCCAGCATAATCAGGATGGCTTGGGGCTGTAACCGCTTTTGTTTTTGAGAAATGTTACAGGAAACCCCTTCCAACTACTATCCATATAAGCATTGTTTTTGTAGAACTGCCGTTCTAGTGAAAAAGCCACGGATGCCTCAGAGCAAAAGGCTTATTGACAAAACAACTGCAACCACTCATTTGATTTAAAGGGCGTAGGTTTTGCTGCTGGTTTTAGTGCGTTACTACAAATACATTACACTTCGTTTCCAGTAGAGCTATTCGTTGCTTCAGTCATTTATTCGATTTATTCAAATTGGATCTGAACAAAGGGCGACAGTAGCTCAGTTGGTAGAGCATTGGCCTTTGGGCCTGAAGGTCGTGGGTTCGAGCCCACCGTAAGACCTACTTCCCGACTCCCACTGATGACTGCTGTCGTTGTGTCCTTGGGCAAGACACTTAACCCTACTTTGCCCAAAGCCCCAACTGAAAGATCTCAGCTCCTGTGGACTCACCACATGCAGGAGGATCAGTGAGGGGCTGGTGCTCTGTGGACTGGGTGCAGCTCTGCCACCCCCCCGACCCAGAAATGGATTAAGGGGAAGAAAATGGATGGATGGATGGATCTGAACAAAATATGTTTTTGTTGACTTCTTAAAGGTTTTACGGGAAAATTGCAAAAATTATAAAAAATAGCTTTTATATATGTTATATATGGTATTAATTTTCTTAACGGAAAACACTCACCTTCACGAGTTCAAAACAAGTTGTGTGATGTTGAAGTTGATCAATGGATCGTCCAAGGCTTTCTTTCGTGAACAAAGTGTTTCTTTGGCCAAATATGCTCTAATTACCATTGTCTTATCTGCATGTAAGACACACACACACCTGTCGCTCCAGTGTCATTCCTGATCCTCCTGCTGGGGTTTTTTAGGTAAAAGTATATTTGATTGTCACCTCAGGGAAAGTTTCCTACTGCATGACGCATCCTTAAGGCAACACAATGAGAGCAACTCACATTGACCAGGACTGCTTTTGCTGGAGAATTTATGTGGAGAGGATTATAACGGCAGAATTTTTGCACCCAAGGCTACAATCCGGAAAGGTGTGTTCATTAACATGCACTGTCACAACCAAGGAAACAAAGAAACAAACCAAAGAAACTGGAAACCCAAATGAGAGTTTTTTAGGCTCTGCTTTCAGATTGGATAATCAGCTTGAGAATACAAATCACAAATATTAACAAAAGTAATGCGGCCATAATGTCCTTTTTTTGTTTTGTTAATTATAAATCAGATTTTGCGTATCCTGTCACTTGAGACCATCAATATTAATTTGAACAAACAAACCCCTCTAAGGTTTGTTTGACAAAATGATACAGTTGACTAGTCAGGATTTCACTCATTTTTAAAGCAAGTTCTGAGGCCATTCATGTTCAACCTAAATACATAATTGGCACATTTCTTTTGGATTGCCATAAAATCGTGTGACGTGGCGCTCAGGATACATTCACTGCACCACTTGCTCTGCGTAAATCTCTCACTGTTGTAACTTGAGCGCTGAGGTCCCTCTGTCAGGTGGCACCACAGACCCCGGCCTGGCCACTCACACATGAGTGCTGTGGGGAGTGGACATAGGAAGAACTTTTCATCTCTACCCATATACATAGTTTGACTTGAGCGGCACGGTGGCAGAGTGGATAGCACTCTGGCCTCTCAGCAAGAAGGTCCTGGGTTCGAATCCCGGTCGGACCAGGGCCTTTCTGAGTGGAGTTTGCATGTTCTTCCCGTGTCTGCGTAGGTTTCCTCCGGGTTCTCCGGTTTCCCCTACCACTAAAAACATGTCCAATAGTTCTGGCATGCGCTTCCTGTACTGGCGACCCCGCTCCCATCTCTGTGTGGAGTGAGAGACAAATGCCCAAAATAAACAATTGTAAACCGCTTTGAGACTCAGATCTGCAGTGAAAAGGCGGTATATAAATAAAGATTACTTACTTACTACTACTTACTTTGACAAAAACACTCGCCAAAATGGTTTTATTACTGTATTTGTAACACAATGGAATGGTACACAATGGACTTGTTTGTCATTATCTTCTATGATGGAAATATATCTTGTTCCCTTTACATGAAGGTTTAAAGATGCAGTCAGTGATTTTTTCCAGATGAATTTTGTATTTTAAGGGAAAATGTTCCTAAACCCTAAAAGTAGTCAAGTTATCATGTGTTTTCAGATTGTAATGGAATTGACCAGATGCATATAGTCTCCAAAAATGTATAAAAAATATTTTGGAGCGGACCGATACAAATAAACCAATGAGATTCATTAAACCCCAACGAACCAATGAGATGCGTTTACCCCCTTTACCCTCTTCCTGTTTCTCGTGAGATTTTTTAAAACCTAAAATGACTGAACAGAAAATGCCAATATCACATTTGCCACCCACTCTCCCTGTTGTGACAAAGAAAAAAAACATTCTGGATGTTTGGTTTGGTGGAGAGGCGAGGGGGGAGTGGTTTCGAGTTGGTGCTACGGCTAAGTTAACAAAATCGCTTACTGCACCTTTAAGTCCTTGCTGACATATCCTCAAAACAGTAAAAACAGTTAGTTTTTGGTTCCATGTCAACAAACAAACAAAAAACGCTGTAGTGAAAAGCATGCTTTCCCTGTCTTTGTTTTGATGCCACATGATTTCTTACTTTCCCCACATTTCTCCCTTTCAGTATAATGAACCCTTTTGTCAAGAGTAGTAGCCAATACTAAGAAATAGACTTGATACTAATGAGACCACATTGAAAATCTAAAACTAATTTTTGTTGTTGGACAATGCACTGACAAAAATAACAGTATTCAATTTTAGTACTTTTTAATGATGCCACAAAGATTTATAATGCGTAGTTCTGTAATGAAAATATCAAAACTCACATTTTGAAACAAATCAGTATCTTGTTCCAACACTAGTTTTAGTATCAAGTCAAGAACATAAAGACAGATTGTTGATGTTGTGATGTCGAAAAAGTAATTATATTAAACTGTTAAAGCAATACAAGAAGACACATTTATTTTTAGCTGACTTCTCATCTTGTTTTCCCTCTTCCTTGAGTGTCAAAATATGTGTGCGCCGTCCTAATACGATTAAAGCCGTGCAAGATTATCCAGCTGTTCTATAGGTCCTTGGCAGGCCCTCAGCTAACATGGCGGTTAGCTTTAAAAGAGCAGTATATGCACAGACACACACATGATAAATAATTCACCCACGCAGTTTAGTTCTACAGATACATTTCACTTGGGTCATTCTAGTGCCTCAG